GACACTGTGCTCCCCCACCTTGATGTCACTGTGTGCCGTACCTCCATTCCCCAGGTGCAGTGGGTGAGGGTGCCTCTTCTGTGCAGCAGTACCTCTGCCAGTGGGAGCTGCTACCCTGGGTAGCTATTCCCCTGTACACCCTCCTAAGGTAGCACGTAGTCAGTGGCCCACTGATACAAAAGGCTCACACTGTTTTAGTTAATGCTGTGTTTCTGTGACCAGAACATTCAACAAGAACAACTTAAAGGAGGAAAAGTTTATATTGACTCATGGCTTCAGAAGTCTTAGTCCACAGATGGTCAACTTCCCTGCCCTGGGCCCAAGATGAGGCACCTTGGTGGCTTCATGGTGGAATGATGTGGCAGAGGAGAACAGTTCAAGACATGGCAATCACGAAGCAGAAAGAGCTTTGGTTACCAGGGACAAAATATAAACCACAGAGCACAACTCCAGTGGCCTACCTCCTTCAGCCACAGCCTACCTGCTTTCAGTTACTGCCCAATTTATCAATCTCATAGTCTCCATCACCCACAAGCTTTGTCTCAGAACACACCTTGAAGAGTCACGTCACAGGACTCCCTGGGGCAGGTTCTGCTCCTAGGGAAATGCCAATTTATGGCAGCAGGGGGCAAAGGACTGAGAGTGTGGATTGTCACCTGGCAGTGTCCTCCTTATAACTCAGCCACTTCTCCAGGGGACAGGGTAGAGGAACTTGGAAATAGACTGCCCTACATTTGCAAGCCCACATCTTATTGAGGAGCTAAGGAGTGCCCTTGGCATTAGCACATAATGAAGGAAGGAAAGCCGGATGAGCAGAGAGGGAGGTAGAATTGGGATGGAGTCAAGCCAGATCCTAGGGTCAAGCTCCCGGGGATCTCTGGAGGTGTACTACAGACCAAATGTGTCCCCCTACAACATGGTGGTATTCAGAGTTGGAGCCTTTGGGATGTAAATACATCTAGAGGGTGGAGCTTTCATAATGAGATGGTGTCCTTATGAACGGGGACCCCAGTGAGTTCCCTCCAGCCTTGAACCATGTTGGGATACAGTGAGAAGACAGTCACCTCTAAATCAGGGTAGCCGTTCTTGACGGGCACGGAATCTGCCAGAGTCTTGGACTTCCCAGGATCCAGAACTGTGAAAAATACATTCCTGTTTCTTGCAAGCCCACCCCCCGGTCTACGTATCTGTGTTATGACAACTCAAACCTATTCAGACTAACGGGGATGGACCTGTGGAATTGTCCTGCCTTGGTACTTCCACTGTAGCAGGAAGGTGCAGGTGGGCTGCCCCTGGGGAGGGGTCCGAGTTTGGGGGGGGCAGCTCTTGGGGTGATCAAGAGGAATTCAGCTGACAGCTGTGTGCTGCCAGTCTTCCCTGAAGTTGCAGGAATGTGTCTCTTGGTCCTAGAGGGGTCCCCTGCTTGCCATATCCTTCCATTCTGGGCAAAGCAGGGCTTTCCTTCAGAGTTAAGTCCCCTCAAGTACAGAGGATTCAGAGTTTGTTTGTTTTTAAAACAACGTTTCCAGGACACTGCTTGGCACCCAGACCATGCAGGGGAGTCAGTCAGGTTGGGCCTTTTCTCATGGGGAGATCTTCCCGTGCATGGGGGGGGGCTCATTCCTGGCCACACTGACTCTAAGTCTGCAGGGGTATGCAGACCATTCTGCTCACCTGCTTCTCAGCCATGAGCCCTCATTGAAATGCGCCCAAGGGATCCCAGGCAGCAGGTGACCAGCGGTTCCCCAGCTCCGGTGCTGCAGATGTTTTTCTAGTAGTTTTTTCTCATTTCCTACCTGAGGGGGCTTCTCCTGTACCTTTTTAAGCAGGTGGATATTCTGAACAGTGTGAAGAAAAAAAAAAAAAGAAGAAGAGGATTCAATGTATATTAGTAACATTTAATTGGCCTTGGATTACTTATTAAGTGACGATTATCCCTATGATGTCTGTCACAGATGAGCGACTACATACTGTCCGTGGTTGATGGGCCTGAAGTTCTCCACCGAGTGTCACAAATTCCCATTATGTCCCCAGCGCTGGGCTTTGCGTTTGGAGTTTGAATAGAGGCAAAGGGTCCCCTCCGCATGGCCAGATGTTTCCCCATTGACGTGGCCACGAGGCAGTGCTGGGTCAGCCTTCCTTCTGGTAAGTGCAGAGCACTCATTAGTAGACACACCCCGGATGGGTGTTCAGACTGAGGGGAGGGAATCGAGCCATCAAAACTGGGCAGCTCCCCTTCTGGGATGTCATTCTTGGGAAGGACTACAGTCGGCCTGGGTCTTATGGACATGGCACTGAAAGGCCCTTGGAGGTCAGTGTTCAT